TTCTGAAGGTTGTCGCAAAAGGGAAATATTCCCAAACACAGGGAATGGGGACCAGTATCAAACAATTCACAGATGGTAGGAAAGTTGTAGAGTAATCATTTTCTTTATTTGTCTCTACAGCTGAAATTAAGTAATTACTCACTCAAAAAAGATACATATTTTTATGTGGCGTGATTTTACGCACATTTTATTACAAAACTACAATTCTTGTCTCACTTGTAAAATGGACAGAACAAATATCGTCCTCATTGTCGTTGTCGTTAACAATTCTTGTGGCTTCAATTATCAGGTGTGTGTGTGTGTGTGTTTGAGTGTGTGGATTATAACTTCATATCCACGACTCTATGTATATATATTGTACATTGTGACTTATTCTCAGCTATATAGGCAAATAAACAACAAATACACAGTTATGTGTGATTATTCCACAAACTTTATTAACATTTGAGAATTTTTAAAACCTGCCTGTGAGTGACACAATGCATATCATATTAATAATGCATTTTCATCACATATAAACCCCAAACTTGTTCTCAAACTGGAGGTGTATTGTAATGTCAGGAGGCAGAGAAACAAAATTGGCAGGTAATCCCAGGGGTTGAATGTTTCCCCTTGAATTGTCAATGTATAGGAATATATGTTGAAGTATGATCTCACCTTGTACTTATATCTCCTACAAGTTGGTAAGCACAGAAATAAAGAAGAAACGATGACGAAATGTATTTTCTTAGAAATATCATAACATAAATAATCGTAGATATTATTGTGGTTTTGATGGCATTCATTAATGATGTCTAATGAATCTCAGGGAAATTTTTACAATGACAAAATTTTGTCATTTTCCCCAAATTTTGTCTCACCAAATCAAAGCTGTTAATTTTACACCCAAAAATAATTTTTGTACATTTTAATCCTAATACGTTTGATGTTTTTACTCACTTTCCAAATAATTTATGAATATTGATATTTGCACAATTTCTGCACTAATTGATGAACATAGATATGATATGCTTTAAAGAAGAATGAAAGAATCTTACCTCTGTGATGAAGGTGAAGATGATCTGAAACTATCTGACAAAGAGAGATTGTCACCATTGGCTGTTGGCGTTGGACTGTCTTCTCCAGGATTCATGATTGTAGGAGGTGACACCGCACCAGTCAAGCACGGTATCGCTGCTTTGAATTTAGTGCTTGATGGTAATGTAAATTTTTTGCTGTTGGATGAGGAGCCTGATGATGAGGATGAGGATGATGACAGAGATTGCCTTGGTGATCGGAAAGATGAGGGTTGGCCAGTACTTGGATAACTGGATGAGAGTGGTCTAGGAGATGAGAGACATGATGGTGGTTGCCGTGGTGATGATAAAGATGGCCGAGGGTAGGGAATGGCTTTTTGAGAGCCAGTTGAGTATTTTTTTAAGGGTTCCAGTTGCCTTGGAGATGTCACATCTTTGCTTTCTTCTCTTTGTACTGATGTAGTTGTTTTCAGTGCAGTTCCATTAAGATCAAGATCTGAACCGACTGAAAATAGACGTATCAGAACTGAATGTGTTTATATGTTTTCCACAATGATATAACATGTTGTCTACAACAAATTTCATAAAGGCATATATTTTTTTACGGAAATTTAATTATAAAATATTTAGAAAACATTTATCCTGGAAGACCCTCCCTTGCCCCTTCAAATAAAAAAAATACAATTTCATTCAATGGTACAGTAACACCCATTACCCATGATTCTTTGCTAGTTTCTTTAATCATTGGTCGATTTACTGTTATTCATTTACATTGTGACTGGTCAAGTTGTTTAAATTTCATAAAACATTTATATAAAAAAAAAATTTCTTCCAAAAAGTTTGGTTCCCATGGTGATGAACAAATAAAAAAAATAATTGATCACATTACATAATATAGAGATAACACATGACTATAAACAGCACATGAAATCCATATGGTTAACAGAATATTATTTTATAATAAAGATCAGCATCATCATA